ACGAGGATGCAAGCGTTGTTTGTAACGCTTAGATTGCTAAAAACTCTGCGTAGAAAAGGTTTAATTATGCAGTATCTGGTCCCCTTTGGTTGATTATCTAATTTAGCAACATATATATCACTACATTAACTAGAGGTTAGTCTAAAGTTCAGTTCGATTTAGTTTATACCATTCGTACAAATAACTCTCATGTAAAGGAAATATATACAGCGATTGCTTTCCTTTTTTTTATCAATACAGTAGGATAATTAGCTGAGTAGCACAAGAGAAAATGAGGGAACAGCCCCATGAATGTTCTCTTTAGGGCCTGACGTTCTTAATCATTGACTTCATAGCTGAGGATCTCAGTAAACTGAGACGTCTATAAGTAGAGGTTCAAGCTGAAAACTGCGTGTGCATAGTCCGTTTAAACGCCATAGATTATGTCAAGTAATTTCGCAGAGATCCCCAGCGCGTGCTCCTCACAATCCCATGGCCAGTCGCCGATGACTAAAAAAGTTGCTTTGTTACTTAAGATTTGTAAGGATTTAGGGCTTAAGGTGTTTTTAGATATTATTAGATTTTGGGGTGAACCCTCACAGAATTATACGACTCTCTTCGCCAATTAACTACTTTGCGTAGTCACGATAATTGGTTAATATATCGTAAGAGATATATTTAGAAGGCTATTTAAAGGCCAAAAACCCATGCCACTGATAAGATAGACGACGAGGTCATCTTATGTAGTTTAAGTAATCTGAGTTTTGTTAATTTTCATTACGAAATGGATTTACAAAACGAAGGAAAATAGTAATTGCTCGCATCTTGCCGTCTTAGAAAACTCTCGACTCAACTTATTCTAACTTAAGTCACAGGATTCGTAGGAGACTAATATACCAAAAATGGAGGCATATTTGAAAGTTTTCGATAATTATTTTTTCAAATTGCGTTTTTTTCANACAGGATTCGTAGGAGACTAATATACCAAAAATGGAGGCATATTTGAAAGTTTTCGATAATTATTTTTTCCAATTGCGTTTTTTTTCAAATCGACATTTTCTTTGGTATGTTTGGCAGGAGTCTTGAAGGCGCAAAGTATATTTCTGTGAAATTAATTCGTGAAAACTTCAAGAAGAATAGAGTTAACATTTTCACATATTCATTTTTCATTTTTAGCAAGGGGTGGGTGATGGGTTAACTTAAATTGCGATATTTTTATTATTTTTGTTTGTTTTAGTTTTGCTCTTGGTTTTTTGGCCCTCATGACAACGAAATGCCATCTACGAAGATTAATTTTGACACCGTTGTGGTTCACGTATTCGCTCCTTTTCTCTGTGTTTGTTACAATCCGTTTTTTCCCAATTATTTTTTTTTCTCTGCGATATTGCGGTTATCCGCACACCCAGATGACAATAGAAAAAGGATAAAACTTTATTTCGAAGAGTGTTGAGGTGATTTTTATTGCTATATACGTTTAAGGAGACAGTATCTAGTTAATAGCTGGTTTTCACATGACGTCACTAAAATTCAAACTATAAAAATATTGATCTTCCTGAGATTTTGCTTTAATAATGTATAAGAGCAGCTAAAAGCTAATATCCATACAAACTTTCGCTCCGAATGGGTTCTTGGTTTTGTGATACACTACGCTTGAATTTCTAAGATTTTGCGTGACGCGGCATTTATTTGACGGCCTAGAGAGCGGCCGTGATAGTTAAAAAAGTGACTTATTTCGGGGAATTTGGCTATCTGAACAGTTCATGTCTTAAAAAAGTATTAT